AAGGCGTTTGACAGTATTTTTGAGCCATCAATTGAGGCTTCCACCGCTATGATAGAAGGTTACAGCGGCAATGGCCAACCCAAAGAGGCAGCAGATGTTCTAAGAATGGTTCTGAGATCAGGACCAGTAGCAGAAGTGGTGATGGCATTAGGGTTTAGCGCCATGATTCGACCGTTCTTCATGGAAGAAGCCCTTCGACATGGGCAGGAAATTCATGCTCATATCATCAAATCAGGGCATAAGCCAGAGAACAAACATCTGAGTGCTCTTGTGAATCTGTATGCGAAATGTGATAAGATGGCCATTGCTTACCGAGTTTTTGAAGGATTGGAAATCAAGGAGTTTGGGTTATGTAGAAGATTGTTAGCTGGGTTTGTAAGGAATGGATTGTATGTTGAAGCATTGAAGGTTTATGCAGAAATGTTCAGTTTGGATTATGGAATGAGTCATTTTGTGGTGATTAATGCTCTGAGAGCTTGTGTTGGGATGAGGGGTCTGGAAGAAGGGAGACAGATTCATGATGTATTGATTAAAGTGGAGAATTTGATGGGAAGTACTTCGCTCGATGTTCTTACTGAGCTGTACAGCAGTTCTGGGAAGCATGAAGAAGCTCTGAAGGTAAGAAAATTGAATTCAAATTTTAAAAATTCATCGCCGGAGTAATACAATAGACTAATGTAATGATAAAAGAAAAATCTTGGAGATAGCAAGATATCAGAACTTGTTTCCAAGTTTTTGTTTCTACCAATTATGTGATTTGTTGCAAATTATGATGTAAATATCACCTCTAAATTATAATAATGAAAATATATTGGATTTTTGTAACAGAAGATCACTTTGTGGGATTAAGAAGGGCAGTGTTATTTTGGGGTTTCAGCCAAATTTTCATTTGTTTCACATTATCTTTTTGTTTTGTTGATGGTACCCGAAGATTCGTAGCAAAAGAGTAATAATTTAGAATTTAGCTTTAGACGAAGATTCAACATACACACAAATAAAAGTGAAGTAGGAGGAGACTCGTTGACTTTTTCCGTGAAAAATCTTAGAAAAAGCCAAAAACTACGGGGTTTAATCCAATTGAAATAATCTATTATGTAATTAAGTGTATAGTTCCACTCGTCCTGAATTAGAGAAAATAGAGTTATAAAGTTGATCATGTGGATGTGCAACAACAGTTCCTTGAAAATAGTCATAATTTAGCTCTTGGCAATAATGGTGATAGCTAGTTGTAAAGGCCGTAATCGGTTGCTATGAAGGCAATAGCCCTTCATGAATGTTGTAGACGGTGATTGTAATTTCAAATTGTCATAGAGGTCATAGTCAAAAATCGTGGTAATAGTTGGTCATACGGGTCGTAGATGCTTGCTTTCGGAGCAATGGTTGACGACAAAGGTCATAGAAGGGAGCTGCAAGACTTTTGAGCCACGTGGGTTATAGTTGGTCATGTATACTGTAATAGAGAGTTGCAATAACATCCGTAGACAGCAGAGGCTGGAGTTGAGAGCTCCTTGAGCTGTGAGCCATGTAGGTCATAGTTCTTCATATAGGCCGTAGTGATAATCTGCAATAACATCTATGTCGCAGAGGCCGGAGTTGAAAGCTGCATGAGCTTTGAGCCACATAAGTTATAGTCAGTCACGTTGGCTGTAGCGATAAGCTACAATAACGTTTGTTGGCCGCGAAAGCCGGAGTTGAGAGCTACATGAATTTTAAGTCATGTATGTTGTAGTTCGTCACATATGCCATAACGAAAAGTTGCAATAGCGTATGTAGGTTATAGAGGTCGGAGATTAGAGTTGTGTAAGCTATGGACCACCTAGGCCGTAGTTAGTCGCATTGCTCCTATAATTTTGTTGATGAGTTATCAATTATTATTATTATTATTTTCAAAGTTGAATGTCCAATACAAATTTATATGAGTGATATTTGATCTGGACTTTAATAATAATTTCTAAAATCATTAGAAACGAGCTAATTGGCATCCACCCTTAAGAAAAAACTCTGGTCTAAACTCTAATGACAAGTGGCATAATATGCCTTGCTTCTTATGCATAGGTAAGTTGGCATGTACGTTAAAAATGGAAATATAGGTGCTACATATTTAAAAACATGAGAATTGAGTGGTAAGTAAGTAAATCTTCCATCTATTTTTTTTAAGGGGTGCCAAACATTAAACATTTTCAAATATTTCTTTGACTATCAACTATAGGCCATTCTTAGTAGTTTCTTCTTTGTCTTCTGCATGGTCAAATTAAGACTCACCATTAACAGTTCTTTTAAGCCTTAAATGCCAATTTATTGCATCTTTTCTTTTTCAATTCAACATCGAAGAAGAGGACGAACAAAAAGATCTAAAAAGTTGCAATAGTTTCCATTGACATGCGGCACAAATTATGCAAGATGCCATGCATTGAAATTTACATAAATAAAATTATAATAAGATATACTCGGAAAATACTTTTTTTATCAAACAGTATTTATAATTTTAATTATTTTTGTAAATTAAATTGAAGATTGTGTGTGCATCAATTTCAACAAATTTATATTCAAAATAAGTGTATTTATGAGAGAAATCCAATGAAATGGTATTTAATCATAGCAAATACTAGAAAAAACATAACATAAAAACGAGATTGCCATTAAAAATTAATTGATAAAAATTTTAGAAGCAGAAGCAGGCCTTTCAAGCATATAAATATGAATAGTGGACAAGATAAAAAAAGTGTAAATATAAATTGAGATAAATACGAGAACACTAAAAAGAATGTATTTTTAAATAAAAAGATAAATTAGATTATAGATATGATTGGGAATAAACCACACAATTCTTATATATTTACATATACACCTAAACTTTGATATTTACATACATACCGCTCAAATCATTACCATCACATCAACCATACCACTATGCTTAACCTTTTTAAAATGAAATACACATTTTCATGTATAAGTTCATAATACCAAGTACGAGACCATGGCATAACCACACTTTAGGAAATGATGTATTATGTTATTATTAGAACTTTCTCTAAGCACTACATAAGGTGCTCACTGCATGCCTTTAAGCAGTAGGAAAAAGTCAATATACTACTTCTCTGTCTCTTCTCTGCCCTTCCCTGTCTTTATGGTGTCAGAGATCCAGCTGATGAATGAGTTGCATAATTTGATTATGAATAAACAGTCCATGACACGATACCTCACAACCGTATATCGACTACTGGGAGGACTCTAGATTGGAAGACATCGTCCTATATACTCTAAATGGGCTACTCGCGAGCTATCAAGCCTTCAAAGTGGCTATACACACGCAACAACACCCAATAGACCTTGATGATTTCTACTCCCTTCTGTGTGGTGAAGAGATTAATCAAGCCAGTGAAAATCTGAAATAGGAACAGTCAACTAACTTACAAATGGCATTAATAGCAGCTAAGGGTCGTCACTCCAATACTTTAAGAGGATGAGGCCGCAACCAATCTTATTCCTCACCACAAATGAAAGGAAATCGCTCTCAATCAAGAAACCTGGTTGTGCGTCAAATCTAAAGTTGGACATTCTGTGTCGACGTGCTGGCACCGTCAAAATCTGGATTAAGTACCTATGAACCGTGCTCTACAAACCAAAACATCCCCCTGGGTACTGGATTCTGGAGAAATAGCACATCAAGCCTTTGATTTTAATCAAGTTCGAGTTGCTAAACCAGCAAGTGGCTCCAACCAAGTGCTCATCAGCAATGGGCAACCAGTCCAAGTGCAACACATCGGTGATGGAATATTACCTATGCGTGAACGAATGCATCTTCTATCAAACATATGGCATGCACCAACCTTATCTCATAACCTTTTGTCTGTTCATAAACTTTCCACCGATAATAAAGTAGCAATTATCTTTGATTCCGCTGGTTTTTCTATCTTTGATCCATAGACACGCCGCATCTTACTTCGGGGCAGCAGCTCCGATGGTCTATATTCAATCCCAAATGTATCTCCATTGACAGTTCATCGCATTCACCTCAAGCCCTCTCCACATCAACTTCAGCAGTTTCTCCCTGGAACAAAAGGCTAGGCCACCCTCATCAAAATATACTTCATAGCATCTCAACCAAACATCCATCTCTTAGGATACCCCTACAAAAAGTTTACTATGTGAAAGTTGTAGGTGCAACAAAAGTCACAAGCAACCATTTATTTATAAACCCTTACATATGTATTCTCATTTTCAGCTTATCCTTTCCAATGTATGAGGTCCATCCCCAATTCCTTCTAATCAAGGTTATCATTATTTATTATGTGTTGTTTATTGATGATTATTCTAATTTTTGTTAGACTTTTCCAGTGCAACATAAATCTGAAAAAACTAAAATTTCTATGTCATTCATCAAACTACTTAACAATTAATTCCAAACACCAGATATTCCGATCCGATGGCGGTGGTAAATACAAGTACACCTTCCTTTAAAATTTTTTATCCCAAAATGGTATTCTGCACCAATTCTCTTCTCCTTGTACACCAAAACAAAATAGTGTCGTTGAATGCAAGCATAGGCACCTTATTGAAACTACAAGAACTCTCCTTAATAATGCTCATCTTTCTCTAATACTCTAGGTTGAAGCACTTTTAACTGCCACATAACTCATTAACCAGATGCCATCAAAATCCATCAATTTTCATGACACCATATGAATCACTCCAAATCATCCACTAATCTATTCCCATCTCCAAGTCTTTGAGAGCACTCAGACCTCTCACGCCTCACAAATTTGATCCACGTTCGCTTCCATGTATCTTTATGGGTTACTTCTCAAGCAAGAAAGGATATAAATGTTATAATCCTCAATTGAATAAAATTATATCTCTAGACATGTGGAGTTTAACAAAGAATCCTTTCCTTACAACAGTCTCAGTCCTCAATCAACTAAACCTCAAGCACATTCCCATCCGGCGCTGCTCCTTGTACCCACTTCCGCTGCTGGTACTCGACACTCACAAACACGGCCTTTCAATGATCCTGTGTACATTCCTCCTATCTCACCAATTCCTGTTGCCTCATCCTCAAGCTGCCCATGCTACCGATCCCTAGCCGAGATCACACCATTAACACTTCACAGCCAAACTCCAACAGACACTCAATGATTACCTGAACAAAAAAAGGCAAACTAAAACCCATACAAAAACTCAACCTCTCCCATCAAACACAGGACACATTGGATCCCACATCTTATACACAGGCCATTAAATTTGTTCATCGGCGCCAAGCAATGAATGAGAAATTCAATGCTCTTGAAGCTCAAGGCAATTGTCCTATCTCCGCCAAATCAGTCAATTCTTGGATGAAGGGGGACATGTTGTACTAAATTCCAGTCTGACGACACTATATCTAGGTATAAAGCACGACTCGTGGCCCAAGAATATAACCAAGAATACGGAGTCAATTATCATGAAACATTCAGCCCGGTTGCAAAGATGGTCACACTCCGTACTCTATTCACCATAGCCTTCAACCAAAATTGGTCTATCATGCAATTTGATGTCTCCAACGCTTTCCTCTATGGTAAGCTAAATGAAACGTCCTACAAGGAACAACACAAAGGCTTCACTGATCCAGATTTTCCAAA